TCGAGCAAAGGGTTAGTAGATTAGTAGCTAGATGAAGAAGGTGTTGCGCCGGGAGGTGGCAGGAGCCGGCGGTGATGGGAGTGAGAAAACGATATCTCGCTCGATTCCTAACTGAATCGAGCAACGGAAAGTTGTTTACCGGGGGTTTTTAGGTAGGCGACATCAGATATAGCGTTAGTTCTAAGAATGAGTTAGCAAAACAGAGGTTAGTKGGGAGAAACWGTGCGCGGAGGCTATGGCGGGGAGATGGCCGAGGCGCAGCGGGAAAGAGAGTAACTCGCGCGACTCTCGATAGGATCGGGCGAGGGAGGAGCCTAGATGCGGACTCTTTGGTGAGGCGAACGCCTTGGTATAGCTAGAATTTGAGTTAGTTGAGTAGGTATAGGAGTTAGTGTGGAAAGCCAGTGCATGGGCGATGGCGGGAAGTGGAGGATGAGCGGGAACGAAGATTAGTTTGTTTGGCCGTTTTCTCGACCGTATTCGACAAACGAGGATCTAGATCGGGGGTTCTCGCGGTGGGCGACCCCGATCCTAAAATCAAACTGGCGTGAAATTTAGTGTAGGAGAAGATCTAAAACGATGATGTATGTTACCACGTTTTAGCGAAAGATTCATTCTCAACGTTGTATGCATTGGTACTAGAGGAGCAAGGCATATGGTTATAACCAAAGYCGTGGCCGTGATCTTATCGCCCGGTACCACGGTCTTGTTAGCAGTCGCCCCCCCCCTCGACGGTGAAAAACTCCTTGTTCGAATGATGCCTGGATTGCCTTATTACACAGGTCATCGTTCGTCTACTGGCGGGCCTCTCTCTGTTCGCGTATGGTCATTCACACTGTGTCGTGAAGTTGGAGACTTACCTGCATATAGCGAAGAATTTACGTGCACGAGACCAAGGGCTTACCTATTGACCGATGAGTTGCCCATCCTATCGATGAAAGTAGTATGATGCCGCCACATGGGAGGGTGTGAACACGCAAAGGGAACCAGTACGTACGGATGCAGTATGCATGAGTGAGGGAGGGGTGAAAGAGTGASCACAACAACGAGCAACCATCATTGGTTCAGCTTGTCGAAGGAGACTCAGTCTGACTTCATTCATTCTAGAAGCAGGCCGGAGCGGCAAAGAGCGGGAAGCAAGGCCGCCTACCTATCCGGATGACCCATGCACTGTTCGCTGCAGAAAGGGGGAGTTGGGGACGAGCCATGGGACTGCAGACTTACCTGCGGGCGAGACGTTGTGTGGCGAACAGAGGGCTGCATACTGAGGAGGAAGGAGCTACTATCGTGACTTGTTTGTTGTTTTGACCCCACTCCTAGCTTCATGCAACTGTTCACTGTGCAAAGTTCACGAAGTCCTTCCCGCGTCTTGCCTGATCCTGCCTGTGGTTGCGTTATACCAAGACTGCGGGGGTCGGTGGCTGCACACAGTTGCTGAGGGTGTAGACTGTATACCATCAGTCTCGGCCGAAGGCGTACTATTGCGGAATGAGAGAGTGTTTGGACCGGGAGGAGAAAGGGGGTAGAGTAAGACCACGTACCTGGTCTTGGCGGTGGCTTACACGATCAGGCATGAATCATTTATTGTTGTTGATGTCAACAGGATGTAGCGYTGTTGATGTCAACAGGATGTAGCGCAAATTTGTAGGTTGYTGGTGGGTGTGCAGTAGCGATCTCAGTGGTGAACACCGARTAGAAGGTAAGGCTTTGGATACATATGATTTGTGGTGACTGAGGGTGTACTCTATCCGACCGCAGCCCTTAGAGGCAGCGCAACAACATTTTGGTCGGGGGAGGCGGTATCGTGAGTTGAGAGGTGATTAGGCTTGAGAAGGAAGGTTATTGCCACGAAGTAAAAAGACGCTAGAGGGTTGATTGCGACAGTTTGACTTCAGTACCGATCCAGCTGCTGCATATTTGGCTGCCATTGCGGGACCCTTAAGCGAAAGAAGATTACAAGGCCCTCTCCCGCAAGTCTGAGTGCACCTCTCTTGGATCTGAGAGTCTAAAATCCTTCTCCTTGACGCCCTTCTTACTCTCAGTCTAGTCCTTGGTTACGAGAGGAAGGCGGCAGGCGGGATTGCAACCCGTAGGTCCGCGTCAAGACTCTGTGGGGAATCCACCCACCGATTGCGGGAGCTCTGCCGGAACTCAGGAGGAGTTCTGGAGGCAGGGAACTTTCAGGTAAATCATTTTTATCTGTATAAGCCCCGCTACTACCCATGTTTGCCTATCTCCCTGCAATATGATTGTTGTATGCATGCGTTTGTCCCTATGGTTTTTGCTTTCTCTTCAGGACCTAATCAGACTAACTGGAAAGAATGTATAAAAGTGAAGCCTGAGTTTCTATTTTGTTCTGATTGAAAGCAGACTAASGATGAATTGAAGGAAGGTGGGAGGAAGGTAGTCTTGCATGCGTTTGGAAGGGTCAACCAAAGCCTGAGCATTGTTTCCATGGTGAATGGCTCAGGGCTGTGTTTTATTTGACTGTTTTMTGAAGAACCAARCATTGTTTCCAAGGTGAATGGTTTGGTTCCTGTGTTTATTTAGTTGTTTTCTCGGGAGCCAGACATTGTTTCCATGGTGAATGGCCTAGTTGCTCTAGTTAACTCTGGGGGTTTGCCTGATTGAAGGAGTTTAAGTTCTTGTTTATTCTGAGGGAGGATTTCAGGTCTAAGGCTAAACATTGTTTCCATTGTGAATGGTTTAGCCTGAAAACCACACGCATAAGTTAAACTGAGTATAAAGGGAAAGTATTTTATATATATTTGCATGTGAACTGGAAGCTGGGCATTGTTTCTACTGTGAATGGTCCAGCGTTAAGCCATATCATTAAGAAGAGAAAAAGGGAAATACGAAGTATAAATGGAAGTAGTTTGG